TAGATAGATAGATAGATAGATAGATAGATAGATAGATAGATAGATAGATAGATAGATAGATAGATAGATAGATAGATAGATAGATAGATAGATAGATAGCAACATGGTTCCTGGTCTAATCCCCCAGGTTTGCTGGTGCCCCTGCATGTCCAATTTGTATGTTTTCCCTGTGCCTGTGTGGCTTTTATCTATACTCCATCTATCCAAAGACATAATTGTTATTCTAAACTCTTGATTCTAAACTGGCCTCAGTGTATGGTTGTCTCAATGTGATGGTCTGGCACCTGTTCAGGTGTACTCGGCTTCTTGCAAAGAAGTGGGAGGTCCTTGCCCTCCCACAATCTCAAATTGAATAGGTGTTTAAAAAAATTGATAGTTTTGAAAGTCTATGGTAACATTTACTTTAATGTAAAGCAATTAACACAATAAAGGTAAAGTAACTTAACTGCCTTATTTTGAAGTGTAGCCCATGTCTTTCCACGTCTTTCCAAAAATGTTGTTCTTTCCAAATTTCCTGATTTATCTCTTGTAGAGGTCTATCTATCAGCTTACTCAAATACAAGAAAACTGTATGTATACACTGTTACTTTTGTTTTCTCTTTTAGATCTGACCTTATACTATAACATATAACAGCAACTAATCCACAACTAAGTTGCACTATGTTAACTAGGGATGAGAGCCAAAACAAAAGCAAGTGGTCGTGTAAGGAGCAGTGGTTTGGACGCAACATGTGAATGTAAGTCATGTGACAATATGCCCTTCATCTAATCACCTCAGAATTCCTGTTGTGGAAGTTTCTGTTCTTCCATAAAAGTGAACATCACGGAGTTTGTACCATATAAACTGCTTTAAAGACTGAGTCCATTAATCCACGGTGTTAAATTGTAATATAACACAGGCCTCACAAATTCTAAGATAGATTTTTCCAAATGAAAAGCTTAATTTGGTAGAAACTTTTCCAACCAAACAGCCGTTTGATAAGGAGTCTGAATCAATTAAAGTCATGAAAACTCCAACTAGATATTACTATAAACCCAGGCAAGAGGCAGCTGGGGAGAGAAATAAATATTTCCATTGGCTCTCCGGCAGCCATTCCTCTATCTGTTCATATGTAGGTCAGACTTCTCTACTTTTTTTCTTTGACTTATCACTTCTTTCTCAGTAAGTCAAAAAAAAAGGAAAGAGGGGGGGAAAAAACATCTGAATCAAGATCGCCCACAGACCTTTTTCTAGACTAGTCAGACAGCTAGCTATGCATAAGTCATCTTGCCAAAATCACACAATTCAAAATTTCCACCTCGCAACACAGCTGCATTCTTGGACCAGTCACAGAGAATGTGAACAGGTTCACATCAGTGCACGATCAGTGGAAAGTATTCATAGTTGCATGTCTGAAATGGTAAATGCAAAACAAATGCATGACAAAGTGGTTTATAGACTACACTGAAATGCTACATGGCCGCAAATACCTCATCTTTACAATTACTGCAGCTGCACACATAAGTGAATGGCTTTAATGAGAGATTTGAGCAAAAAGGAAGATGAGAATAAATGTAGGCTATTGTTAATTTTTTCTAGGCCACACTCCAGCTGCTTCTTCTTCTCAGTCTCTTTGAATGCTGACCTCAAAATATGTTTACCACTCTAAGTTTTGTCTCCATTCATTCACACTGACAGTGCTGTGAGGAACTAATTACAGCAAGTAATTTTCATTTGAGAATCTAAGTGCCAGTGATTAAAGCATTGATAGATTTTTTATGTGTGCATTGTAAATATCATGGCAGGTTTAAGAAAAGTCATCTATAAAAATACTTTGAACAGCAAGTGAAAACCTCAAGGGTATAAAAAAAAAAAAGGGAATGAAGCCAAAAGAGAGTCAGTGCTCATAGACTCACATTTTGTGCTCAGATTTACCACAGATATAAAAACATTTACACTTTGGTACAAATAATAGTTTTAGTCTTTTCTAGCTAACAGCTGTATTCAGGTTGCTTTATAAGTCACTTATTTAAATTCTGTTATGGAATAAAGTTATCATTCAGGTATCATTCAGGGCTAGCTTTAAGGGCTAGGCTAGGCTGCTATCAGCCTAGCCTAGCCTTTTGTGTAAGCATATATATATATATATATATAATATATATATATATTATTATATATATATATATATATTATATATAGTATATATATATGAATATTATATATATATATATACTTTTTTTGTATATTACCATCCATCTTCTGTGTGTCCAATTCAAGGTCACAGGAGCATATCTCAGCTGTTATACAGCAAGAGGCACGGTACATCCTGGACAAGCTAGGCTAACACAGAGACAGACAAACATTCACACCTACAGCCAGTTTATTGTCACATGATCTCATCTCGTTTATGTCTTTGGACTGTGGGAGGAAGCCAGAAGCCGGCGCAGGGAGAACAGAACTCCACTCAGAGAGGCCCCTTGCAGCACTAGTTAACAGGTATCCTGGGCAATGCACCCACAGAGTCCGTGGAAGCACCTTTGTGAATAAGCTTACTAGCTTGCTTAGAAGCCAGAGGCAGTTGACTAATATTCACCTTCCCTAAAAATTAAAGCAAGATGACTTTGGCTATGTCCACCTTTTTACAGTCTGTTGTGAAAAGCGGACGTCTTTCATCAACCGAATGAAGACTGATATTGACATTATATATCTACAGAGTTGAGAAAAGAAAAACAAAGCATCAGTTACAACGGTAATGACTTTATTTTTGGAATAAATACACTAGTGTCAAAGACCATTACAAATGCCTGTGTAAAAAAAAAAAAAAGATTTTTTTAAAAAAAGAGTATTTACAATATTTTTTGCACAGAGCTGAATAAATGTATACATAGTATACAGTACAGCCTGTGTAAGTCATTGGTTTCTTTTGCTGTACAAAGTGCAAAAGCGGATTTAAAAACAAACAAACAAAAAAACAGCCAACTAACATGAGACTTACCCTGTAGTCGGATGTTGGACTGGTGAATGTGACCCCTTCAAATAAAACAGAACATAATGGATTACAGGATTCCGAGTCTGTCGACAGAACAGCTTGGCTCAGGCTGTGAGGCCATAAGAAGATGGGGATCCAGGAAAACACATTCTGTCTGTGATTGTGTTATTGTTTTATTGATAATAAATTAGCTGTGCTAACTGTGCCAGACGAGCATGACTTAACAGGCTTCACGACTGGCTGAACACTATGAACTACGAATAATGTTGCTGAGGTCAAATGAAGGAAGTGATCACGAGAGAGAGGATCTCAATGCAGTCTGTGTGTATTTGCGTGTTTATAGTATCTGGCTAGGCCGCTATCTTAGGTCAGTGTTTCCTGGCCTGTGTTGTTTAGTCAGTGTGACTTCATATTCAACCTTAAATTGAAACACGATGTGTACAACGAAGGTGATCTCTGTTCATGTTTTGAAGAAATCCTGGCTACATGATAATCGTGTGTTTTGCATCTTTAACTCCTAAAACGTCGCAGTAATAGCAGTCTTGATCCACTGCAGGAGTTAACTACCAAACTATAAACGGGTGGTGGTAGGAATAAACAGTGCCACATAAGTATTCACACAGCAATGAAAATGATATCAGTTTCATTTCAGAATCAGTTGGAAGATTTTAAAATTCCATGTGATTAAAAAAAAAAAAGATGGCCGATAAAACATGCGTGAGATATTTTGAAACTATGTTTTAGTCAAACTGTTATTCATACATGTCACTCTTGGTATAGTTGCTATTTGAAAAATGACTGGAGTCGTTTTGTAAACTACCCACAGCTTTCACTAATCTGCAGCCTGCACAGTTAAAGTATTATGACATGAAATGGGTTCCAGACTCAAAAGGTAAACTAGATTGATTGCTTGCAAATGGACATTCTGTATCTGCTGACAGTACAAGGAATTCAACTAAATTTTATTTGACCTTGATTATCTTGTATTGCCATAAAATGTACTCCTGAATAATGCTTAAACAAAGTGGCAGTGAAAGATATCTTTCAGCATTCATCTTCCAGGTTTGAGTGTTGATATTCTTCCAAGCAGGTGTCCATCATCCTCTAACAGCCCAAGTGGAAAAATCCATGTCTGACAGATAGAAAAGATACTTGCAGATCGAATCAATTCACCCTTTTAAAACAGAAAAAAACACTTGTGTCGCTTATAGGTTTAAGTTACTAGCAAGGCGTCATGTTACAGAAGTCCAGCTCCTGTGGTTTACGAACACCAGTGCAGTGATCTCTTGTGAGAAGATGCCCAGTTTGGCTTTGGCAGTGCAGTGGTCGTCTCTTGAAGCCCTTCCCGCAGGTTCTGGAGCACGGTGACCACTGGCCAATATACCACTCAGGACATGGCCCTTCACAAACCCTGGTGGCTGGAGGTCTGTGCGAAGAGTCACAGTTCCACCCTGGCTTCCCGTCTGGTTTCAAACACTGCACCATCCTCCTCTGGATCCCACGGCCGCAGGAAACGGAGCAATCATCCCAGCCTGTGGTAACCCACTTGTCCAGAACGGGCTCCTCCTTTTTGTAAGACATCTTTAGGGTATCTGTGTCTTTCTCCTTGACACTATCTTCACCCAGGACACTGTTTTGAGAGTTTACCCTCTCATTCTTCTTCAGAGTCTTGTCTTCCTTGACCTGACGGGCGAGGTAGAAGGAGTAGCGGATGCGAGGAGGTGTCAACTTGCCTGCACAAAGGACCTCCACCGTCAGGGCTTCTCCCAAGGGCTTCATGGCCTGTATGGTCTCGGAGAGGCCGACTGTGCCACTGTAGCGCAGCAAGCTTCTCTTTACAAAGATGTCCTTCTCGCCAGCTGACACTATGTAGTTCCCATTGAGCAGGTAATGGCCGTCACTGTTCTTCACGGCCAAGTAGTTATCATCACTGACCATTCCCTTGTAGCCTCGCTGGCGGATGTCTATATTGGCTGCACCCACTGGCAACATGACAACGAAGTTGTAGCCATGCCTGCAAGCCAAAACATTTTAGAGTCAGTGGGGGCTTGTAATAATGGAGCGAAAATGATAAAGTTATGTTGAAGTGAGTGGGGGAAAAAGAATGACCTAAGCAATGCTTTGTAGAGCCCGTCCCATGATGACATAGTGATACTCACACAGGCTTTGTGAAGAGTCCAGACACTTTCTTGCAGCCCTTGTTGTCACCTCCACAGATTCCACACTTATCAAACTTTTTAGTGGAGCCAATTTTGCTGTCACAGCCGGTCTTAATGCACTTCCCCTGGACACACACTCCCGTGGAATCTGGTGAACATGGAGTCCCATCAACAACCTTGGATGCAAAAACACACGAAGCGTTAGCTTTTGCATTCACATCGAAAAACTGTTACAAATGAGTTCACTTGTTCCTTTTATACTGGGACAATAAACTATTTGTTATATCAGGTAAACTACCTAAATGACTTCATAAGCGTACACAGAATGTCATAGTATAGTGCATGTTTTGAGATCAGCCCTATTTCCAGTGTGTATGCAAATGTGATATAGAAAAAGTGTGCAAGGTTTTTTCATCCTTAACTATTAACTTCAGCGCATTTTTTAAACTAAATTCTACATAAAGTCTGCTGCCGGCTAACTTTTAAAGCTGTGAGTCAGTGGTTAAAACATCCAGCTGACCTGTGCTGAGCTGATCTACGTGTCCCCTGAGTTCTCCCTATCTGCTCCTTCTCAGCTGATTTGATGGACTGAAGTGCGAACTCTGTCTCACTGCTGCAAAAGCTCACTCTACGCCCTGCTATCTGAAAAAGATAAACTGTCCTCCTCCTCCTCTTTTTCATTCTTTCCCCTGCTCTGTTCAGAGACCAGAGGCAGCTGGATGACATATATTCTCTTTGCTATCGCTGCCTCTAAAAATAAAAGGATTTTAAGTGCTAATGTATTTTGACTTTTGACTGATCGTCAATCAGATTTTCTGTCTCTCGAGTGCACCTTATTCTTACCTTTGATTCCAGGACATTGAAGTAGCCCGTACCATTAGCCCTGCAGATGAGTTTGCACCTGTCACTGAGGGACACTCCAGAGTACTTGGGTATCCACACCACTGAGTGGCTGATACGGTTACTGCTGAATCTCTGGCCGCTACTCTCACACTGCTCTTCGCGGTATGTCTTACCTACACAGAGAAGGAGGGACGACATACAAGGTGAGAGGTGGGATTGCTCTAGCATAAATACGTAACTGGATATACTTGTCTGTGTTGAGAGATTTGTACCTGTGTCAGGGCAGCTGTTCAGGTTGCAAGAGCGGTATTTGACCCGAACTCCTTGGCAGTATTTACCCCCATTTGATGGAACTGGGTTGTTACACTCTCTTTTTGACAGCTGGACACCACCACCACATGTGCGTGAACAGGTACTGAACAGTCCCCACTTGCCCCAGCGGCCGTCCACCTGAAAATAAGAATGCATAAATAAAAATGCAAATAAATACTATTATTATTCATATCCTCATAAAGCTATTTCCTGACAGAAAGAACTGCTTGAATCTTACCTTCAAGTTCTGAAACTGCTTGTCAGTGCAGACCCCTCGGTCGCAGACCTGTCCGTCCCCACACTGAGTGCCATCTGCCCAGGGAAAGTGCCGAGTCATACACACTAAATGTCCGCTGGACTTTCCAGTGCACCACAAACGACTGCATGGCGGCTGCATGAAGGGACAAGGCTTAGAGCCTTCACCGAAGGCGAGCTCACACTGGCGTTCGAGCTTGTAGGATGATCCTGGCAGCGTGTCAGGTAGGACTAGCGGTTTCTGAGGCTGGTCGAGCAAACAATCACCTAAGAAGAGGGAGATTCAATAAGCCACACAACGATGCAGTATGACCTTCTTCTTCTGTGGAGACTTTATGACACACAGGTATAAAAGATGCAACCAAAATACACAAATGCACGAAAAACACAATGAAAAACAATGTGTTTATGCGTATTCTCAAATATTTATATGGTCCTCTTCATTAAATGTGTGCTTTTTCTGCATGTTGTGTTGTGGTGGGTGGGATTGTGGGTGGGCACAGGAAGCAGTCATTGCCCTTGTGATTTGGCCTTTGATGCAGTATATGCAATGTATGCCACACACACAGAAACATGCATGAGCACACCACACACAGTCATCCCCACCCCAGTCCCTTCCTCAAACTCCCCCTAAAAACCCACAAGCCTCTCCTCTTATTTTCCATCCCAGCCTTGTTGCATGACTTGCAGTTAGACTAGAATATTGATAAAAAGGATATGAAGCTAGATAGTGCTGCAAAAGTCAAAGGCATCAAAAGCTACAAATACATACCTTTCTGGGAACAGACTAATATTAGGAAGAGTTTGGCAAGTAGGTGCAAAATGGAATCACGAAAGGCCAACATGAGTGGATGAAAAAGGTTTCCAGGAGAAGTTTTTTTATCCCCCAGAAACATGCAGAACTTCGCACTCTTATGGGGAATTTTCACATACAAACACATTAATCTGCACTTGGAAAAACTGGGTTCCCCCACTTGAACTGTTTAGTATGCCATTCATGTTGTGGTGAATTCGCAGCACATTGTAAGCGAACTGCGGTGCGGTGGTAACAGTCCCACAGATGTAGCAGAAAAACACACTGATTATCAGATAAGGCAATGCTGTACAAACAAATCACTCTACGCCAAATAAGCTCAACCTCATCTCTTCCTTCCTAGTCTCTCTCCATAGAGCAATCATGGAAACAATAGCTGGTGGTGTGTGTGTGTGTTTAAACAGGTTACAAATAGGTCTGGACACAGTGCTGAATGAAAATTACCACAAGCATGTGGCAACATGCTTTTTCCACCCCACTGCTTTTTGAAGTTTAGATTTATGACAGATGGCCAGGAGAAACCAGGTTACGATGCTGTCACAGAAATCACTCCCTGATCTTCCTCTAAACTAGTACTTTTGTCCACAGATTATTTCCAAAATGAATAGAGAGAAGCAACAAACAAAAAATGTCTATTTGGAGTAAACCTGCATGGGAAACATTGTGCAGATACACTTAGTGGTCCAAACCGCTGTGGTGACTCTCCCCAGACAAAAAGGCCTGTAATTTGGGACAGATGTGGGGGCAGTTTTAAAATAAAAGTTTAGAATTGCTCCAAGGCCAAGTGCTGTGGTCTGTCCTGTTTGGCAAACAATCTGCATCCAAATGAATGAATTTCTTCTTGGCTATTGCAAGCCTTTTTTATAAGAGAGGTTTGGCAGATGTGAGAAATCAAGCATAGGTGGATATTGAAATGAATCCATTCTCTCGCTTGCATTTATCCAAAATATGATTTCAGTAATGTTTGGAATCAGGGCTTGCTCTTCAAAAACAAAAGCATGGTTGTCATTTGAACAAAACACAGCTGTGAACAGACAGCACCGTGTGACCAACACAGTGAGGACAATGCCTTGCTATATGTTTGTAAGTCATTACTGCTTCAAGATTGTTTACAACTATCTATCCAACTCTGGCTTTCGACCTTTTCAAACATGCTATGAGGCTGCTTTCAGGCTGGAAACACTGAGGTCAGAGGTCAAGAGTACTCACCATGCCCACCGTCCAGAAATTCAGTGATGATTGCGGCACTGCAGGGGGACCAGGGGCTGGTACGGTTGATCTGAATAAGTGTGGGTGACATCATGTGGTTCTCCTGCATTTTTCCGAACAGGTCCTCACAGGATCTCACATTGTCATGTGGCATGTTGAACACATGCCCTGTGGAGAGGGAGTGAGATCTCAGATGTCTTTCATGAGTGCACAGACTGTGATTATGCATATACACTTTCAGGGACACTGAGATATTAATGTGGACTGAGTGAAGGATGACGTCGACGGAGCATACCGAGCTCATGAGCAGTGGTGAAAGCTGAAGGAAGGCCGTCGTCTTCGATTACAGAGCAGCTCCTCTTGGGGTCGCACATGGTGCCAACATCTGCCATGCCAAGTGTGTCACAGGTGGAGGCGCCGCAGAGGTCCTGGATGAAAAAAGACATTAGCATGATTACATCTGAAACAATGACAGCTAAAGGCAAAGTCAAACATGGGCTTGCATCTATCCTTCCTCTTAACCAAAGTCTGAATCACAATGGTGCTCAAGGCTAGCCAAGCTAAGTTTGTCTCGCTATGACACAGAGACACAAAGAGAGTTACAATATTTGTCTTCATTTATCGTTTTAGTCACTTCTGGGTAGTGGGTACTATTTATAAATTTACCGCTGACATATTAACACCCTTTTCATTGAGTTAAAAACTCATTAACATACTTTAGCTGCCTATTTTACACAACAAGGAGTAAGTGTTGTTTAAGGTCAACATATTTGTGTTTTTAGCTGCTTTTTTGGCAACTTTGTTCGGTGCACTAGAAAAAAAATGATGCCCAAAATGCTGACCTTAACTAATTGAATTACATGTAGTTTTTCCATGTGATTTAGCTACATAAGTAAAATGTAAAACATTTAATTTAATGGACTCTGATCAAATGGAAGCACATTTTTCGTAATGATTAATTATTTCAATAGGTAAACTTTTTATTTTATATATTTCAGTTTCATTTTATTCAAAATTATTGCTTCATGATTGTAATTGTGTCACTTGTTATTGGTCTTTGATGTGTGATACTGAGAAACAAAATGGGCTGCAGTGGATTAACGGTAAATCAAAGTGGTAACAACTGTGTGCCAAACATTTAAACAGCACAGCGGCCTAAGACACTCCACTTTGTTTTGATAATGGCATTTGATGTATTTTTAAGATAACATAAAATCCAGTTGTAGCTAAATTAGACAATGATTTCTGTCGATGATCACAGAATGGCTCCCACTGAGTTATTTGCAGTGTTATGGGAAAGTGTGACAAAGCTAAATAAAGGTTATTCACACAAGATGGTTCAAGAGTTGGCAGTTTGTCTTGTAATCGGAAGGTTGCCGGTTCGAGTCCTGGCTCCGACAGTCTTGGTCGTTGTGTCCTTGGGCAAGACACTTCACCTGTTGCCTACTGGTGGTGATCAGAGGAGAGGGTCTGGTGGTGCCAGTGTCTGGTAGCCTCGCCTCTGTCAGTGCGCCCCAGGGCAGCTGTGGCTACAATGTAGCTTGCCATCACCAGTGTGTGAATGGGTGGATGACTGAAAGTAGTGTAAAGCGCTATACAAATACAGGCCATTTACCAAGACATTTATTTTCAAGTGATCAGCGTGACCTCAGACAGTTTGGGTTATGAATCTGTTATTGGTCTGCATTTTTCTTTCTCAGATTGGAGTTTGTTTGAAACTGGACTGCAGCTTATCCTCATTCTTGCCCTGTCTGGCTTTTTTGTGGTGATGTCACCTTGTTCCCAGACGTCGACAATTAACTTGTCTGAGTGCGATGCTATTAGGCCGGTTGAAATCATGTCCAGTTTATGAAAGTACAATTATTAAATTATCCTTTATGTTGTCTTGATGTCATCGCAGCAAGATCTTCGTTTAAGAAATTGGGAAATTATTCAGTCGTGTCAAGCACTGCTTTCCACCACCCTGTCTTTAAATCTTTTTAGTGGGAAACAGTGTTTAGAGCACACCTTCTCCTATGAGGTAATTTAAATAACCCCAACCATAACATTTCCATGCCAGAGCAGAGTTTCCAGATGACCTATTTCTCTACCACAGGTTTTAAAATCCAGTCTTAGCGAGTATGCATTTGGAGCTGAACCTCCTAATCACAGGACAACTTCGGCAGTAACCGCTGCAAAGAACCACCCATCTGCCTGTTCCCTAAACAGCACTGTCCCTACATACCCCAAAACACAGAAAACCAGTGGTGGTCAGCTATTACAGATAAAACACCAGCTGAGTCTCCTGCAGCCCCTGCAATCCTCAGCCGTGCTTAATGTAACCATTAAACACGGGGCCAAGTGAAGACCTCGAGTGCTATGACAAATCATTCCTAGAATAAACCACAAAACCACAATTGTACACCAGTGCAAATCTAATCCAGATGTCCTCATGTGCTTGGAGGACATCTGAAAGTTTGGGCCATTTCAGTAAAAAAAAAAATAGAAGAACTGCAAGATGAACAGGGGAGAAGAAACACCCAAGTCAATGAGTTTGTTGTTTGCTATGACCTACTTCCCACATCTGTCATCTGTCTTTGCAATTTTGGTGTTCCTGCGAATTAACAAAAAAGAATAGAAAAACAATACTTACCTCAGCGGACTAAAATTCCCATTTTGTTTTGTGTACAGATTTTATTGCTTTTAAATCCCGTCCAGCCTGTTACCTGTTTGTGCTTTGGAAACAATATTCAAAAAGCTTTGAAAAAGGTGCATCTCAGAGTTTTATAGGTCTGATGCAGTATCCTGGACCGAGTTTATGACATCTGGACATTCTTTGGTGAGCTCTTTTCTTTCTCAGCCCATTATCTATCATGTAAGAAAAGGCTGTGAGCTAAAGTACAGTCACCTCCTCTCTCCCCGGGGGAACTTGCATTCTAGCAGATTTATGGTCAGATTTTATCTTTTGGCTGCTCTCCTACAATAAACATTCTGTGCAACTTAGCGCACTTTGCGGCATTCTTTGCACAAAAATCACGCTGACTATACTGTTTCGGGACAACCGCAGTTGCCTCCGGACAACACAGAGTTGGTCTTCATAAAACCTACAAAATTACACAATGGGCTGGTGTTAAGTGGAGAATGAATGGGCTTTGAAATATCTGTTAAAAACTGTAGTAAACAAAAGAAAATACAACTCACTAATTGGACAGATTTAAAGTCATTGCGTCATGATGTAGCAGAATTGTTAGCAGACATGTCAGCAGAATCCTTGAGTTTAAGAGGGGAGACCGTTTAGGCCTAAACTGAGAAGAAAATAAAAAAGGAAAAAATATATGTCAATCTAATTGCAGTGAACAAAGCCTGACAGGTTTAACTGCAATCTCATGATCAGTAAAGGCCTCTCATGCAGTACACCGGACCTTGAAATATTTAGAGCTTGTTAGGTACATGTTTGCAAACCCCACTATTTTATTTATTGCTTCAGGAAACAGTGATTGTGCTAATAGATTCAATATGAAACTGACTGTAAAAGGTCAGTGAAGGCCTGTATCCTCTAGCTTCCTGGTGTTGAGCATGAGTTTGATTGGGTGGTACTGTAAAGAAAGTTTTATGCACCACAAGCCACTGTTTAGACTTTTCATTTGTACACTATGTTAGCATTCGCTCATAAACTCCATGTTTCGTTTTGTGTACACTTTATATGTGATATTACACCAGGAATCTGTTGTTCAACACACAATGGTTAGAGGTGAGATTTCTTTGTTCAACCTGCTGTGTTAAAAGGAGGCTTTTTTCTGAATCCCTGCACTTGTTACACCTCACTAAACCTTTGATTGCTTGATGCCTGTCTTTTTGCTTTATATAGTAAATTACATCCTTGTGACTCTCCAAGCTGACTTGGGTCGTGTCAAGTGGCTGCAGAGTTTATAACATCAGCTTTAAACTGATGTTTAAAGCTGAATGTTACATTCTTGTAACATTCTTGTTTTTGGAACACTTTTATGGAAAATGCTGACCATCTTAAGCCGTCGATATCTATTCAGCTAGGACATACTGTAAAAACTTGTGCAGAACCACCGTGGCAAAAGAAATGGAGGAAGCATGTGACAGACTGAAGAATTGCCAGGGAAAGATGCAGTCCAGCTGCTGATGTGGAGGAGTTTGTTTCGACATAAAGCGAACAGGTGAGTCAAAAACATGCAGGCATGTAACACTGACATCCACAAAGGACCCCACCGCCACCACCCTCAGTCCCTCCATCCCATCCCTTCAGGGGCCTGTTTAATGAGGAGCAGGCAGCTGCAGCAGAATGGGAACAGCTGAGAAAAATAACACATCCACACAGTACATCCCCAAGGGCACTGACGCTCATTATATTCAGTAAATTTGCAGGTATAACAAGCAATAGTTCACTTATCATTATGTGCTACTAAGGCTGACAGAATAGTACTATGTTACCATTGGCTCTTTTAACTCTGATAGCACAGGTTTTAAGACGACCTTGTGACTGCAAGCTAAAAACTTTCACTGTAACTAAATCAGTTGGGCTGACTTGTCAGCTTTATTGCAAGTTTTCACAGTGGTAATGGAAGCGCATACATCACACTGACCAATGAATGTGAGCAATGACTTCATCTCTGACCTTGTGTCATCTTGCAAATATTTGGGAGTGCAGGGAGAAGTCAGAGGTGGTTTGCAAGTCTATAAAACTGCCCTCTAAGGATCTATGACGAGCAATCAAGTCTGGTGCTCTGTTCAGCTCTGTGTGACCCAGCCTTGGTGTCAAAGCTGTGATGCTATTGGTGGACTGCCTGCATGCTCCCTGAGTTCACGAGAGGCGGAGAGTGTTTTCAGAGCAAATCAAAAACGTGTCAACTGGAGTTTTACTTATCACAAAGTTATAAGAGTACATTGCACATTTTCCTTCTCAAGATCAGAGGTTGCTTTACAGTATGTCACTCATTAAGGTGACACAATGCATGTGCGAAAAACAAACATTTACGTTTTCTGTGCGTAATTGCGCTTACAGAACATATCCCGCTCTGGTTTTACCCCAAACATGTGTAACATAAACGATACTAAAAGTTTTCTTTACCTGTCTGGTGAAAAGAATAGCTGTGTCCCAGTACTCGGGATGCTTGTCGTTGTTTTTGTTCATCTTTTTTTGCCAAGTGCAAAAGTTCCGCAGCGTCATGGCTGCGTTCCCGGACACCTTGGGTCCTTTGTCCTCCTCGGATATAATCATGATCTTCACAACTGTAATGCTGATGGAGTTGAGGATGCTGGGATGCTTGTACAGCTTCGCTGCCACTGCCATCAGTGTCAAGAGGTAGTGCTTTAAGTCATCTCCGTGGAATTTCGCCATGGACTCGTCCGCCACAACAAGCGTCTCCACGTATCTGGGGACTGAGGCGAACCTTTTGGCTCTCCCCATCCTCTTCAGCATCGTTTCTGTCACATTGCTGTGGTCCGCCAGTCGCTTGTATTTCTCCAAGGACTGCGCAGCCTGGAGGCTTATGTCGCTGTCCACTGCGCACCTGGAGGTAGAGCTGGGCTTCAGGTTGTTGCTGGCTCTGCGCCGGACGATGTGCGCGCTCTCTGCGCTTCTGGTGTCATTTTGTACCGGGCTGATAAAATATTCCCAGCCGTGGAAGCCAAATGCACCTTGCACACCTTTGCAGAGACTGAGAGCGGCATAAGAGTACTGATCAGCGTTCACATATCCAGAATAAAAACACCGGGTCAGGTCAGTGGTGACATCGGTATCGGAGAGCCACAGTGCGCCTTGGTTAGAGATGGAAGGGGCAATGAAATTAGAGTCTCGCTGTAAATCGATCACTAATTCCTGCTTGAAAGCTTTAATCTTTAGGACATATTTTCTATTAAGGAAATCCACGTCGTTATCAGAATCCGTCCTTTCATCACTATTCATTCTAATCGGGAAGCAAAGTTCACTCTCCATGCAACGAGCGAGCTTTAAGAGTGAGACCACAAAGTAAAGGAGAAAAGTTGATCTGATAAACATGACGATGTTTGCATTAATCAAAGATTAATGGGGGGGGGAAGAAAGAAAATCAGAATGATGAAGAATCTACAAGCTCAGTGGCGGCGGCGAGAGGATCGGGATGAAGAGCATAATCCAAAGCGCTAAAACAGTGCAGGTCGTACAAGTCCACTCAGAGAAAACTCCTCCTGGTCATTCTCCACGTGTGTACTCAGTCGACTGCTGCCTTGTGTGGAGCTTATGCATTTGGTCATGTGTAAAAATATGGAAACACAACCTTTCTTTGCTGGGGGGAAGTCTTTCGAGGCGCTCATTGGATGAGCTTCAGCCTTTTCTTCTTCTTCTTCTTCTTCTTTTTTTTTTTCTTTTTTTTTTTTTTGCCGCCTCTTAAAACTCATCAAACAGGCCAATCAATAAGTCACAACGTACAAAATATGATGAATTAGCAGATCTTGCACTTTACACTCAGACTACTGCACATCCACTACTCCATCAAATCTTTAGCTTTTGGTCACATGGAGTGAATAAAAATCTTTAATGCCACATGCATATTCAACAGAAATCCCTGCACTTCATTTGTAGTTCATAAGGCGAATAAGAGCTACAAGTACTGCATGTTTAACGGAACACCGGACAACGGGCAGCAGGAAAATAACAGGCATGATTAAATAAGGGGTGACACAAGCCACTATCATACTGCAGCTGAAGTTCCTCGGAGGAATATTATAAGTTGTAAGGATTCAGCATCACTTTTTCTCCATGTTGTGATTAGGTCCGTTTCTGAGAGAATCACATACGACATCTTGTGGACAGAATAATAATAATTCTATAGCAGGGGTCCGAGGGTATTCTTTTAAGACTGCCAGAAAATGTTAGAAAGTAACTACTCTAACTATTTTTACTCAGCTACAGCCTAATTTGATTTAATTTTACTTCTATACAGGTGGATGGGGCTGTTGCTAAATGATACTTCTTTATTATTTCTTTACGGATTAAAATCTTATTTGCAAAAAGCATCAGCATTTGAATTAAAGTTGTTATGTGAGACATATTTTGTACTATTATACATTTTAAATGCATTATACATACCTTACGGAGATCTAATATTAACAGTGCAGCTAAAGTTAATGTACTTCGGTTTTGTTAGTCAAACATAGATAAAAGAAATAAAGCTGAAATTAAAACACATATTTAACAGCTTAAATATCATTAATAGTTTTGTGTGTTGTCGTGTAAAAGTCTGTGGAAATCTTCATCTCATCCGTCTGTAGTAGTAAATATGATGATTGTGACTTTATGTGGTCTACTACTAGCTTTGCATCCACAGACAGACTTGGGCCACTTCCCTCAACCATAAGGATTTTTTAAAAATATATTTATAATAATTTGTGGTATAAAATTTCTAATATGGCCCCAACGGGGTGAAAAATAGTAGTAATGTTCTAGGGAAGTTGACTCTGGGAGTTATATCATTTTATTTAACGTTTAGCTTTGTTTGCGATGTGATTGCTATGAACGCAGCTGCCGTTGCTAGACTGGGGACCCCTGCTTTTAAGTTGTCTACACAGAAGCCGGTCTTGATTTTGGCATTCTATCGTTAAAAACAGTTGAAAACCACGTTTGCTGTCAAAATAAGCGGGGAAAAGTCGAATATTTGAATACTCAGTGTATGCAAACTACTTATCACACTTTGTTATATGTTCTGCGTCACTTTTTTGAATTGGCAGCTAAACTGGCAAGCGTCTGTGCTATTCGTTGACACCCTGCACACCGAAAAAAATAACACTACTGAAGAGTAACCTCTGCTACCCGTCATAAGTTGTGAGTTTTAAAGTTAAAAAGTAAAACATTTTACATCCAAGCGTCTATTGTAACAAGAGCAATAATTTACCAATGGTCACAGTTTGAAAGTTACGGGGATTTTTTTGGCTCTAACGGAACCAGCTGCCGCCGAAATGAACTCGTATCACGTTTTGTCGCTGGTGGGAGAGGGCTCATTTGGACGGGTTTACAAGGGAAGGAGAAAGGGTAGTGGCATGGTAAGCATCTACAGGAGCACAGTTTAGTTTCCTGTTTGTTTAACGACACTGCTTCACATCGTCTCTTCATCTTTGTCCCATGAGGTGGTGGCTCTTAAGTTCATGCCAAAGCTGGGTCGCTCGGAAAACCAGCTACAAAGTCTCAAAAGGGAAATTGAAATTATGAGGGACCTTCGGCATCCCAATATTGTCCAGCTCTTTGACAGTTTTGAGACTGAAACTGAGGTATTCTCCCATTTTCTCAAAACTCTCAAATAAGTTGCTGTCAACTAATTATCTTTACATAATCCCATGATCATTATAACCCCCTATATATGTTAATGACAGGTTGTGATTGTCACTGAGTACGCAGAGGGCCAGCTGTTCCAGATCCTTGAGGATGATGGAAACTTACCAGAGAGCCAGGTTTTCACTGTTTTTACACAATTGAACCAGATGTGAAGCTTTATTTAATGTTACGTTATTAAACTAGTCTTCCCTTCTTTCAAGGTCCGTGCGATTGCCTGCCAGTTGGTCTCTGCTCTGTACTATTTACATTCCCATCGCATTCTTCACCGTGACATGAAACCCCAAAACATCCTGCTAGAAAAAAGCGGTGTGGTGAAGCTCTGCGACTTTGGGTATGTTGATAGTTGCAAAGAAAAAAGTTTCAATCGTTTCTAAAAGAATAAATGACATGATGCAATCTTGCTGTAGGTTTGCCAGAGCGATGAGCGTCTCCACCTTAGTGCTTACTTCTATCAAGGGAACGCCCCTGTACATGTCCCCTGAGCTGGTGGAGGAGAAACCATATGACCACACTGCTGATCTGTGGTCTTTGGGATGTATCCTTTATGAACTCCACACGGGGGCGCCTCCGTTCTACACCAACTCCATCTTCAAGCTAGTGCAGCTCATTGTGAAAGACCAAGTGAAATGGCCAGACACCATGAGCAGCACTTGCACGGTACAGTAAAGCTACACTTTACTCACCTTGTGTTACATTTAGGTTGAAGCCAACATCTTCAATATATTCTAACAATGCTAGCTTGAAAATTTTAAGCCTGTAAAAGATTATGCTGCAATTATAAGTCCCTTGAAGGGTTTATTGGAGACAAATCTTACACAAATTGTTTCCTAATGCAAAGTCTTCTATATTATTACTATCCAATGATTTCTTTGCAGAGCTTCCTGAAAGGCTTGTTGACCAAAGACCCCCAGAAACGGTTGTCATGGCCAGACCTCTTGTACCATCCCTTTGTTGCTGATGGTGTTCTAGGTGATTCTTAAAACTCCTGATTTTAGTAGAAAGCTTTCAAATGTTAATGACACATTCTCATGTCTGACATTCATGATTTTATTCCCATGTGATGTGTTTGCAGTTTTGCCAGCCACAAATGTGTCCAGGCCCTTGACGGTCACACCCAGCCCTGACATGCTGGCGTTGAAACTCCAGCAAGTGGCAGAGAAGACTGTACCAGCTTCTGCAGAAAGCAGATTGTTGCGAAAGGTCAGGGAACAAACAGAAAACTGTAGTAAGAGGAAACCACCAGGAAAGGACAGTGCCAAAGTAAGTAATCAGTAATTATGATTATTTTATTATTTGTAAACGTTTGTATGGTGAGATCAGCGGAGGGCCCTAAACCTGTTTTGTGTGCACTGACAGAAAAATAAGGATGAAAGGGAAAATGGTGCGATGGCAGCAGCAATGTCCCCTAGAGTGTGCAACCCCATGCCCTCTTGTGGCGATGTTTCTGTTACCTCGGGTCAGCTGGATATGATGGCTGCTAATCAATGCCTCGGACCGAAGATTCAAGCTAGCTCAACATCAAAGCACAGGTGTTAATGAAGGTTCAAAGTAACGATGAGTTATGCTATCATAAACAAATGTGTTTATAGTTCCTTTCTCTACAGGGGTCAGATAAGCATAGACTACGAACGGGAATTTCCCTGTATAGAGATCGGGCCGCGACTTGTGCGGAGATGCAGGGAGGAAAGCCACACCTCACAGCGATTGCAGGTCAGAAACAGCTGCCTTTTCCACTCATTAGAAATTATTTACATATTATCTGTCAGTAGAGGATCTGCTTTGATAACACGCACACAAAAAACTTGCTTTCTTAAATTATTATATTAATATATACCTGACACTGAGTCATTTCTTGTTCTTTCAGAATGTAAACAACAAAGAATACTGGGAGAATCTGGCCCAACTGTCCGATCCAAGCAGACAAACGAGAGAGATATTAGATTACAGCATAATTATATCTCAAATTAAATCAAAGATCCAGGCATTTAAAGCTCAGGTAATGTTTCAGCATTTCACTCGGCGTGAATTTTTTCTTCTTCAAAAGAGTTTTGCATCTACTCCTTTTTTTCTTTGTTTGGGCAGCTAAAAGGGGGCGTGGTAAAAGAAGTTCAGCAGATTCAGCAACCAATGAGGGTCCTACATAATCTGCTTGTGATTGCTGAGGTTGAGAAGTTGAACAACGTCGGCCGTGAACTTGGGCTACCCCGTGTCCTCTTTGGCCTGATCCAGGATGCTGTAGAAAGCTCAGATTTCATTAAGGTTGCTACCCTGGATTGAAACAGTGTTTCACAATGAACTGATCCTGCAACAATGTTTCTCACTTCTACTTTGGTACTTTGCCAGCATCAGCAGAGTATCCCCGTCCTTCAAGAAATGATCACAGTGGTCCTGGTCTACTGGGAGAAGAACTGTGCCTGGGTGGAACAGGAACAAAGGTTTGATGAGTCTTTTTTTTCCCTCGCTGAAACTGACTTTGTTCATTTGTAAAATACTCAGTGCATACACACGAGATTCCAACTACAGCAGCTCACCATCTGCTTCTCACTCTTTAGCCTGGAAGAGTTCACAGAGTCCTTCAAAACAATTCTTAGTCAACCAAATCTCAGTCGTCTGGTCGTGAGTACCCACTGACATATTTCAACAGCATCAACCATGTTCAGCATGGTTTACATATAATATCCTGTGTCTGTACCTTTTTGATATGCATTCAGCTGGTCTGTTGTGTGAAACGCTCGATTATCTGTCTTTTAGCCTCTGGCTGCTTGTGTTTTGTCTCTCTTCACACAACACAATGTTGATGTCAAAGTTGATGTGGAGCATCTAGCATCCTTGCTGAAAACTCTGGTCTTGGACCCATGTGAGGTACTGAGCTCATGTAAACCTGGCAGTAATATGAAAGCTTGAAGGGATCTGAAAATGTGTGAACCATTTATTTTTCTACATCATCAGCCCCACAT